GATAGGGCTGAGGGTTCAAGATTGAGTGACAGTTACCGTGCCTGGGCCGTGGGCTAGGCTAGGGACGATCGAGCGATGCCGGTAGGCCTCTTGCGGATCTCATTTGGGGAACTGGAGGGAAGGAAAAAGGAGAAAAAATTACCGCCCCCCCGATAAACTGAAAATTGTGTCTATCGGGAGCTCTGGAAAGCCACTGGGTTGGGGGTGAACACCGCAGGAACTGGCTCTCCCTGAGCGGCTGGTCATACCACCTCCTGTACAGTATGCCTTATCATGCCAGGAGTAAAATATATAAAAAAGGCCCGAGTACAGCTGATTTTAGATGGAGGATTTGAACAAGAAGACCGGGTGCCTTTGGTAAAATGCAGGTTGTAGAGAAGCTATCTAGAATATTCCCACAGTGCATTTCTCACACAGATGGCACGGAATGGTGTATCCGGAGGAGACCGCGTATCGCTAAGTTGCTTGTCGAGGTTTGTAATTAGGGTGTGCAGCACAAGAGCTCCCGAATGCATCGGCTAGTGGCGTCGCCTTTCCACGAAGCACTCGTCAGGCATTGCGTTTAATGTCAATACCCATTTCTACTTGGAGGGAATAGTCTGGTGCCATTACCGGAACAGCACCTTAGAATTTCACATGCACCATTACAGAGGAAGCGATAAAAATTGGGGGATATGGCAACACCCTGATAGGGAGAATACCATGGGTGAGTTGACTCGTTTCATTACAGCGAGTTAGCATCATAACTGGTCCATCCTTGGTGAGCACCCCCCCCCCCCGCCTGATAACCACCCGGATGACTTGAAGAAAGGGAAGATCTCTTCGCCATCGCATGACAGAAATCCCGGACCGGAGCTCTCTAAGAAGCCCGCACTACCTTTTCCCGAAAACTCCCCCGTTTGAATGGGCTTCTCCCGTAGATTTCCCGTAGATTTCCAGTGACTTGGAGTCGATTCGAACAAAAAACCAGATCTCGGGTTGTTATCATATCTTCAGCATCTCGCCTTAATCTCCTCGCTCTGCAGCCAGGAAGACAATGACAAGAGGAAAAAAGAGGAATAAACCTCGGGGGTAAATCAAAAATTGAGCAGCCCAGATACCCAAAGGCAGCTGGCGTAGCATCCACCTCCGATGTGCAATGAAGGAAGAAAGCTTCGAGAACCAACCATCAATGAGCGGAGGACTCTGCTGCTAGGTAAGTATGAGGAAGCAAGAGGGAGGGGGGAGAGGGAGGTATTTATAGTGGAGAGACGGGGGTGCCAAGACTTTGTGGATTTGGCCGACAGGAGGTCTTAGGGTTGGAGATGGCGGGTATGCGAGGCGGTGGAAATAAGCTGAGTTGGGCAAGTTCCCGGCGATTTTTTACACCTGTGGTTTCCGTCGCTGAGAATAAATTTGCTAGGGGGTAGGCCCGCAATAGACGAATTCTATTGAAGCACCCCGCAGCATCATCCCGGCTGTATCTTCATCCAGTTCAAATAGTCACCGGTCTTATTAGTCCACCTCGAACGGGGAGGAAAAAAACAGCTGAAATATAGTGCTCTAGCCAGGTGCGTTACCGCAGGTGGGGAAAGGTGGAGGATTCCAAAAGCTCCCGGATGATCCTCATTAAATCAACCCAAATCAAACAAAGTCTAACATACGGTAATGGCCAGAGAACACTAACTCTACAGAACAAAGTAGCCATAATTCATTCATCTCCCCTTCCTCGTCTCCACGCATAAGAGCCAGGAGGACGACGAAGATAAAAAAAAATTAAACAAAAAAGGGGGGTATCACGAATCTCTAGTGTGAATAAAAAATAAAGCAGGCTGGGTGCCCGTAGACAGCTGGTGTACTTGCAGTACCCCGGCTCCGTAATGCAGTGGATGTAAGACACTCCGAGAATCGGCTATCGATGAGCGGAGGATCCAGGGTACCGTAGGTATGGGGGAGAAAAATGGAGGGAGGAATTCACAGGGGAAGGATAGGATGCCAAGACACGAATAGACCCACAGGAATTGATAAGGTCGGTGGTTTAGCAGGACATTCGATCATCCTATTGCCGGGTACGACAGCCCGTACAAGTACCACCATATTGTCATACCTAGAACGGGTTATGTCACGGGAAGTCGTGATCACATGAGAACCGTTTGCGGGGCCCAGGATAGACTACCAGTAAATCTGCACATGCTATACGCGTCTCTAGAGACCAGATCACGTTGATCTCGGTACCTGAATTAGATCCGCACCAGTTCCTCTCCCCCTCACCGTGAAAATACCAACTCCCCAGGCGAAAGATACCTGCGCAAACAATCACGATAGCAAGTGCAATCTAAGAAGCAAATTCTAAGGGTAAAAACAAGAACTTTTCCGCCAAGAAATCCCACCCGTAAACCTTGACTCCATGAACAAAAGAAACTCACCACCCATCAAACGTATGCAACAGAGCGACCACAGCGCATCCCCTAACCCTCCTTAGAGCCGCTCCAACCCCCTCCTCTTTGACCAACAAGAAAGACCCACCGGAAAATCCTCACCCTTCAATCCTCCCTTTGCCACAGCCACCGCTTGACCTTCGTCCACTTGCTCCTCCACAGGGACAATAGCGTCCTCACCGATGTTAGACCCATTACCCCCAGGGGAACAAGTTTCATCGGCGAAGGGTTCGGCGACAAAAGCATCATGCCCATCGCTTATAGCCACCGGCATGGAGGTAGGAGCTCTTTCAAAAGCAGACGACGCTCCCGGGCTTGCAGTCCGAGCGGGAAGTGTGGGTAGTTGCATGGTTTGCCCAGCCCTTATCATGGAAATACTGTCCCGGGCAAACCAGATGCAGTGATCCTGGTGTTCCGGGACGTTTCCGAGCTCGATGTCAGCTTGTGGTTCCCCTGCCGGGTGTTGGTTTGGTTAGTTCCATTAACCCCGACCGAGGGGTGGGCCGCGGGGAAACTCGAGAAAAAGGAGTAATGGTATTATACCTTCGGGGCAGAGGAGCTTCCGGCCACCACGCTTGCACATAAATACTATGAGCATGAGTGCAAGGAGTGAGATCGCTCCGGCAACGACTCCGGCGATCACTGAAGTTTCTTGGGAGGGCGACATTTTTTTATTTTTTGAAGAGGGTATGGCTTTTTTCAGGGTAATGGATCCTTTCCAGTAGGGTTTTGTCGAACAGAAGGAGTGAAAGTGTCGCACAAATTGGGCAGAAGTAGGAACACCAGGAGGGGGGGGGGGGTATTTCCCTTTGAGTGCGTGAAAAAAAAAGGAGGGGCTGCCGAGTGAGAAAGGGTGAAGTGGCAATTATGAGAAAGCAAATGTCGCTTCTAAGGAAGAAGGTGGGTGGGGCCTGCGCTTAGTCGTGTTGGTTGGGAGAATTCTGCGAGAACGAAGAAGGGACATCCCAACGGATTGGAAGAGTTTTTTGGAAGTGATTCTGTCGGGACGTGAATATCACCAACGCAACTCGAGAGTACTGTACTCAAAAATAGATCCGTTCGAGAATGTCGAGTTCAGCTATTCAATGGGCCGCTTCTGCCAGATACCTATATGTATTGCTGACCCATTATAGGGGAGTTGCCAGGGACGATCTATGGATATATAATCTGCTCTTTAGAAGTAGTATTACAATCTTGTGCCCAATCCCCTCCGATCCCCTCTGGATAAGCAACTACAACAGCAGAGCACACCACACTTGTACTACAGAAGCAATGGGCTCACGAAGGTGATATTATACAAAAACTACTAGAGTTGTAACCCTAAAGAAAATTCTACTTCAGCTGTAGTGGAGGACGATTGCCTTTAATTTTTCATTAATTACCTCGAGCAGTGGCCAAGAAGACAACTAAAACAAAGAGCAAATGAATCCCAGGAGTAAATCAAAAATTGAACGGCCCAATGGATTGAAAACAGCTGGCATAGTAATAGTAGCACCCAACCCTCTGGCGTACAATAGGTGAAAGACTTGTAGGGTGTTATAGGGCATTGACATATGCTACTCTATTATGGCTTGATCGGGTATAGATACCATGGAAAGGGAGGGTAGAACTCTACAATGTGAAATACAAATGCTAGAAAGTACAAAATATTGACCTACGGAAGATGCTTGAGTTGATGGCTTGATATTACGGTGGTAGGGGGATATTGTTTGTTTGGTATACAGGAGGATATGGGAGTCGGATTACGGGATTTAGTGGGTTGAGAGGCCATTAGCAGCACATGGAGCTTTCCATTTTTTTTTTTCCACATTTCCTTCCGGAATTCTTTCCTGCACGCCGGGCCATATTCTCCCGTACATATTCGAGCCAGTGGTGAGGCATAGCATGCGAGCACGAAACCCCCAAACTGTCATCACCCGCCCACCCACCAGCCCCACCAGGATTGGAGCGGAAGACAGGCCACTCTAGCTCTGTAACCGCTAGGCAAACTCATCAATTTACGGTTTTTGTTAGATACCGGTAGGCTAGCTGAAGGTGAGGGTCTGCCTACTGCTGCCATAGTAATGATGCCGAGCTCCATAGACTGAGCCAAGGATACTGATCACTTGTAAGCACGCAAGTAAACTCCCAATTGCTGCTCAAAAGTACGAATTTGACATTCCTCTTTCTTTCTCCCCCCCCCTTTCAAATTAGGGAAGAATAAACTTATGATATGAGAGACCTCCTTTCCTTGGTATTCCTGCTATGGTTATTTCTCTAGTGGGCTTTATTAAACTTTGCATGAGGCTTCTGTTTTACAGTACTTGCAAGCTTTCCGGACACTTCATACCTTTTGTTGTGCCAACCACTGCTAACCGGACTCAAATATACAACAGACCCATGCACCTAAAAGCCACACATGATGGGCACTTCCTAGATATGTATATTCCAACTTCATTCTTCAAATATTAATACAAAGTTGGTAAGGTCACTAATAATGGCCGAGTGGGGTCTTGTGATGCTCTCCTTGCTCACCATCATCTGGAAAAAAAACAGACAGAAAACATCACTTTGGTGGCAAAACTTTAAAAAACAGATATCTTAATGCCAAATTCAGAGCCTATTCTGCGCAAAGGTTCTGTTAAGGTGTATGCTAACACTCAGATATCTATATAATTTACAATGGCAAATGGCTTATCCCATAACTGTCTAGAGCAATATTAGCAATCGACTATCAATGGGCCCCATCATTATCCACTAAACTTTGGACGGAGCACAAGGAGACGACCTCAGCCTAATTACCACCACCTGAAAACGGTTACTATTGAGGCTTCTGAGGTAGCGTAGTATACGAACGTAGGCACAACCTCCTCCGGGGTTCCCGTTTTCGCCAGGAGAGCCACTCCCGTTTTCCACGGCAATGTCCGGTTCCGCAGTAGTCTCCTGATCTCCAATGGACACAGGTTCTGCCATAATCCTAGGGTCTGTGGTAGCCCCGGAAACTGAGATACTAGATGCAGGATTCCCAATGCCGGGAAAGGGGGGAGGGGGGCAGGTATAAAAGGTCCGACGGCTTGCTCAAGTAGCTAAGCAAGCTCATGTTTCGGGAATTCTGGCTCGCGATATTCTCTTTGAGCTTCTACAGATTTTCCGAAGAAGGCAAGAATACTTCTTTTAGGAGTTTTATGTCTATCAAGGGGTTTACTCTCAAGGTCTTCCCAAGTCAATCTAGTTTTCACAAGAATTGAGAGGGAGTAAATCACCTGCAACCGGATCCCCTGCCTTAGAAAAAGCTGACTAGATACTCCCGGAGTACGAATGGGCCGTGAGTAGTGCATATTCTAGGGCTCCGAGGGAGCAAGCCCAGATGAAAGCAAATTCCATGCTTTTTGAAAATGTTTGTAGTAAAGTAATTTATGTAAAAAAATTCTTATCCCCAAATCCCCAGGTCAGGGCTAAACTCCAGAACAAAGACCAAACCGGAGCGAATCCTACTATCCGAGCGGCGAGGAGGAAGAAAGGAAGGAGGGGCAGTTCCCAGATGTCCTCAAGCGTTCGTAAGATCAACCTCTGGCCAGAGATATTGCTCCGAGGGAGAAATAAAGGGAAGATTATGAGAAAGTCGCGGGTATTTATAGAGGGAACTGATAGCTGGCTAAGAAGCAGCGAGCTTCGTATGCCGGCTCATTGAGGGTGGTGAGGGACGCGTGAGCTTTGGTAAAAACACCGTCCTGTGGAAGCCGAAGTCGTGAGTCCGCCCAGTATTCAAATAGCCACTACGAATCGAGATCGTTTAGATATCGAGGGAAGCATAGCGACAACCTCCGGGCCAACTTCTACCTCTGGCACCCCATTCACACTTTCCATATCTCAATAGCATCTATCATACCCCCAAGATAAATCCAACATACTAACGGTTTATAATTCATTTGTCAATATAACACCTGGCAAACGAGTTCAGTAGATGATCCCCCTTCCCCATTGTCCATTGTCCATTAGAATTACTACCGCAGCTCCCAATACCCTACGAGACGCAGGAGACCAGGTTTTGGCTGGGTGGGAGCAGGTGATAGGTAGATAGCATTCCAATCCCCTAGAATAATGATTTACCTCCAACCTGTCGTTCTTAGAGCTCGGTAACAAGAATAAAATCCCTCCAGCATGCTAAGACTGACTCTCAATGCTACTCCAACAGTTCAAGCTCCGCTGTCACTGGAAGTAAGCCCCCCCGCTGGAGCATACCTCGCTCTCCCTTCAGATAAAGCTGCCAAACAAAATCAAAGGCACCAAAAACTGCTCCCAAAATCCACAATTAAAATTCTCAAGGCGCCTCTACCAGGATCTCAAAGGGCGATCGTAACCCTCCCAATGATCCACTGCCTCCCCTGGCCCCCACTCTACGGTCCTCGAAATTGCTCATCTCCAGTAGCAAAGCCCCCACCCACACAAGTGAGGAGGACCGCCCAATTCCTCCGAGGTATGGTCTCTCCTCCCGCAGCGCGATAGTAAGCTCATACCTAATCCCGAGAGCACCGAACGGCGGGAGTGTTTCCACACTAATAGCTAGTAACAGCTCGTTATGGAGTTTCTCGAATGGTCTAGGTAGGAAGTGGGGGGATAGTTCTCCGGGCCCGGGAGCGTCAGGACCAGGCCAGGATCCGGGGAAGGGGAAGTAGATTCCGTTTCCTCCTTGAACCAGGGCTAACGAGCGGAACGTAACGAACCCTATGCATAGTTTATCCCAGATAGGATTTCCCGAACCGGTTTCCGTGATAGATGGAACCATTGGATAAGGCATTCACGTCGGAACCGGCCCATACTTTATGTTCCCTTTCGTTTGTTCGGAAGCCCGCTTCGATGGCGGGCAGTGGGCTGCGAGGTGGGATATGATATCTAGTTATCCCGGCATGTGGCGGATGGAAATTTCATCATTCCGAGATTACGGAGAAATGGTTGGATGGATGGCATATGCGGAGGATTGGTATTTCCGGGGGCTAAGGGTGGAAGGGTTCCTTTTGCGGCGGCTGGATGTATCATACCTAAGGCAAGCGGAACGGATCAAGCTTCTCATCTCTACCGATATCCCCCCCACACCCCTCCCCCCTCCACAAGTTTTCATCCCCCAGCTATTCCATTGAGCCTAGCCTCACCCAACTACCACCAGTAGTTAGAGATCGAAATCGCAGTGCATGTATGAGCAGATAACCCCCCCCCCCCCGCAAGAGATGGATGGAGGCCCGCAGTCTTGATACATGTCCAATCCATGGGGGGGCCCCTAATCCTCCAGGTTATTTCAATAGTCACATTCGACTAGGTTGACTTAGGAGGCGCTGTGTCAAAGATCTGACAGGTAAGAATCAATCTCAAACAAAACCTCAATTTCAACTAGCTAACAAGGGAAGCTGGTATTTATCTCCCTTATACTGCAGAAGCAAACGCGCCCCAACGAAAGAGTGCTTGTTTCCCAGTAATGAACCAACCAATAATGCAACCAACCGAATGCTCATGAATGAAAGTCTAGAAAAAGAGACGACCAAAAGCTATGTACTTGACTGAAAAAGATATCACCAGAAGCAAGGGAAAAAGGATCAAAGAGAGTTTTATATGCAAGCCGTGATATACCCGCTGAACTAAAACAACCAGAAACCCCTGTATATGCCTTTTGAGCTCCCCAACTGCTCGCCCCGGAGGACAGAAGAATGCTAACATACACTACGCCAGAAAAAAAAAAGTCGATAATACGCCACCCCAAACAGGAAATAAGCAGCGCCCAAAGAGAAGAGGGAGAAAAAAAATGGATGGATGAAGCTGATTAATGCTATGAGCCCATAGCAAAGAAAAACGATATATACCTGGAAAGAAGAGAAAAGGGAAATACATAAAGGTATATCACAAGGAACGTAACGAAAAATATATGGAAGGGTTGGGGATCTCGGGCCAGTCAAAACGTTAGACAACAATGCCGCCAAGATAGCCTAACTCATCGACAAGTTCAGCTCTCCAGGAAAGCTCTCCGGCAACTTCTTCTCTCAAGCGCCCCAAGGATTTCATTCCACCCGCTGCGAAACCACAATTCCCGTTATTAGCCTCGTCCAGAATTACATCCCCAGCGTACCGTCCAATATCCCTGTTGCCACCAGGCGCGCCAGCCGAGACTTCATCGAAGTTATAGTATTTTGGATAGACACTGGCCTGTTCTTCTTTCGCCCGGGAATGGTATTCTTTAGGTGTGCTATATTGTGGGGCAGAGATTCCAAGGCCATCGGTCGGGGTCTCTATTCCGAAAGAATCACCGTCTCTCTCGTCAACCTCATCGTCACTGGCACAACTCTCATCGGGAGAAAATGGGGAGGAAATATTTGGAGAGCAAGAACAAGCTGAAAGAGCATGGCAAGAGCAAGCTGACGCGACCGAGTGATAAAGGGAAGGTGAGGGCGAATTCTCTATGGTATTCGAAGCAATATCGGCCACTTCGAATAGGATAGTCTCCTGTGGCGAGATCGGACATGGTTGCGGGTGTGGCTCGGGCCGTGGGTGCTGATTCCGTTGGTTCCGTTGATTTTGTTGATGGTTGGTAGCACTCGAGCGGTTTGAAGTCACTGGAGAATGATAGTAAGCCTGTGCAGGCTGTGGCCGCAGACCCCCTGATCCGTTGATCGACATTTCTGAAGATGTCTCTCTGAGATATCCAACAATATCCGAGATCTTATTAGAACTTTTCATTGATGTTGGTGGAGGTACCTGTTTTTTTGGTAGAACCTCCACTGCGATTCCTTCGGCCTTCGCCGCAGCCGCTACTTTTCCCGATCGATCGACCGCCTTGGAAACTTTATCATCATCTTCAGCCCTAGCCTTGCTTCGTCCGCGGAATATGCCAGACGCTTTCTTAGCTAGTGTCCACCCGCGTTTCCTGATCGCAATTTCTTCGGTCGAGACTGGGACATCCTTAGCCGCACCAAATTGAAAAATCGACATCCTACGACCGGTCCGTCCTCTAGCTTTTCCCCGCAGACTTCCAGGGTCTTTACCCGGCGCTTCGGCTCCAATAGGACTCTGAACCGACGGATGTTCTGGAACCTTACGCGGCTCTTCAAACAAACCACCCTCGTCACTACTGCCAGCAAACACGGAAGATCCAATAACGCTAACGGGAGAAATTGTCTTGGCCTTCTCATCCAGTGGGGCCATGGGCGGTGTAGGAGATTGAGTTGAAAGGAAAAGATGTGGGGGTGGATTCGGCGGCTTCTCCGGAGATGGAGGAAGTTCCAATGGGACGTATAACGTTGAAACCAACCTTCCGCTGGTTGGATCAACCATGGTCAGGTCCGGAGTGGACGCTGGATCTGGTACGAAAGTTTTTGAGTTAAGGAGAAACTGATGGATATGTCAATGACGCCCTTTACGGACTCGAGGACACCCGTTGAACCAGGGAGAAACTAACGTAGTAAGTGTAGTCATGTCCCATCACGAGTCCACCTCTTTCGGTAACCATCCCTTTCCAAACCCCACGACCAACACGTAAATCCTGATCCATTGGCAGAGCAGTACTAAAATTGTCCCACGAGCCAACAAGATGCACCGTCCGAGGCATTTTATCCGTGGGAAAAGCTCTGAAAAACGTTAGCCATCCAGCCCACAATCCGGGGAGAAAACAAATGCCGATATCAAGAAACGTTTACACGCCCCCCAAGAGAGCGCAGTAAAAGATGGAACAAAAGGAAAGAAACCTCCATCAAATTCCCTGATAAAAACGGTGGGGGAAACCAACATCCGAAATGTGACGAGAGCCCTATCCCCAATTCCTCGACCGCCTCTTGTATTTGTATTAGAAAATGAACTCGGCATGACTCCCCTATTCTTGGGCTTGCGATTTCGAGGCTAATTCGACTTCTAGGTTTTCCTGAAGATCTCCAAAAACCTCGGTAGACGTAATCACTATTCTAGCAAGTTAAGCAAGTTAGAGAAAATCATTAGTGATCCGATAGCATTCGCTCCAGCCCCGGATTAAGAAAAAGACAAGCAGCTATTTAAAGGAGTCTGGAGGCGGCCTAAGGAATCTGAGTAATGAACTATACAAACATCTTAAAGTTCTAATGAACCCCTCCAACATGTGCAGCTGCCGGTTTGGGTATGGCACTGCTACTATTCGTTCCCGAATTCCTCTCTCGACAACAAGGTTGTTCCAAAGCTGAAAGTCGGGTATGCAGGCACCCGGCTCAATTCGAATTCGCTAGGCAAACACCTTCGAGAAGTAAGAACAGAGGTATGCAACCGCAAACCCAGCAGTCAGGAAGCCAGTAGGTATGATAGAAGCTCCGAAAGAAAATCGACCGAAGACTAGATTATGATTCCGGAGCCGAGTCAAGGCGGTAAGGATGGTTCATTTCATCAAGATGAGGATGGGAAAACGCTAGCACATAAGGCACCGGCTGCGATGGGCAGGTGAAAAGGTATCGGGAGGCAAAAAATTGGTTATAGCAATGGAAAAGGGAGTCTATGAGGGTGGATGAGGAAGAGGGGGTGGACCGAGCGATCGACGACGAGCTGGCGAACAAACAAACGCTGCAGGGCCAGCAGCACGCAAGTCGAGAAGGCTAGCCAGTCAACGGGCTGAGTCGACGAGGCACAATTGGGGAACTGGTTGGTTATTACGATGTTGCGGTGCATGGGATGTTTGGGACTTGCTTTTGTGAAATTTTTTTCTTCTTCCCTTTGCCTTTCTCTCTCTCCCCGTCGTCCGCACCCCCGTGATTACTGGAGAAGACCCAGTCGTCGTCCCCCCTCAACGAGTGGTTTCGAGCCCGGGGGCGACAAAGGAAATTTCTCGATCAGGTCTGGCCGAGACCTGATCTGGGCCGCTTCGCGGTTTAGATTGGCCAAAGCTCTGTGCGAATGGGCAGCCCCTGCGGGTGACGCTTTACGAGCTCGTTTTGACTCAAGTCGGGGGCGTCATCAAAAAATCCTGTTCGGCCTTGGTGATATGGGCCCGAGAGACATTCGTTGGCCAGGACAAGGGGAGTTGGGAAAGGATGTCGCAGAATGCGGCAGGTTTTTCTCTCCTCCATCCGCTGACAGGATACCACATACCGTACTCGAGCACGGTACAGTACGAGTACAGCACCGGTTTTCATATTTTTATCATCGCCAACTGCTTGCTCGAGTACCGGTAGCTCCTTCCCCCGCAGCGTAGCAAGGGAGAACACAGTCAAAGGGAAGCCACAACCCCATATGGACTACCGCACCGGTATTGCCTTCAAGCGCAGGACCCCTCATCCCTCCCCTGCCCCCTCCCAACCATACTCCCCAGCAGGCATAGGCAAACCATTAACCCTTTACAAGTAACCGCGCTGTATCATACTTGTACCCACGCTCTGCTGAAGCGGGGGTAAGCGAGCCCCAAGGGGACAGTCACTATGACGCCAACCATTGGGTTCCTGAAATGCAGGGTTGTCCGCATTCATTGGCTTCTACCCAGGCCGGTCAAAAATCGGAAAAGGGGGTGCCGATGGATGGTGGTGAGCGATAGAAACCCAGAGTAGCGATCATGTAGCCAAGACTGTCCCGCAAATCTCTGGGGAAATTCTCGTGCCGTACTGTACTCGTACCCTACTGTACGAGTAGCGCAGTGTTTCGCTGCACGGCTTGGGTGCGGCGTGCGTCGCGCCCAAAGTCACTGCACTGCACGATACTCGTAGGCTGGGGACCTCCGCCGTGGGAAGCGATCTGGGGCAAAGGAACCACGAACAAGTCACTCCCACATCCCCCTTGCCTTCGCTACGGTACTCCACTACCGGTACTCGAGCACTGATAACGGGGGGACTTGGCCACTTTGGGCCCAGGTTGCGGGTTGCAAGGCATCAAGAAATTGAACCAGTCAGCGTCGAGATCAGGGACGGCGTGTTTTACATCCTTTGGTCTTCAGCCGCTCAAAATTGTTATCGGTTGGTTGGCCAGGGGACCGCCCAGAAGCTTTCGCCCAAAATAGACAAGTTTGTCGATTCACCGGGTCCCAGCCAAATGAGAAGGAAAGTCCGTCGGCTGGATATATTATGGTTAGGTTATTGTACCTGGAATCCTCAATTTCGACAAATATCCAATTCCCGGTTTCAACAAACAAATCACTTTAAAACACCGCCCCGGCGGTACTTGTACTTGTATGATGCCGGCCGTCTGTTTCCCACCCAAGTGCTTCCCCGCCCGGGTTAAAAAGAGCTTACTGTAAGAATAGCCACCCACCACTCCAAGATTAGCGGGGCGATCTTCATTAAACTCTTCGTGCGGTACGGTACTTGTACTCGAGTACTCGAGTACAGTCGCACCTCGCTATCCCGGATGGCCAAAATCCGAGGAATTTGTCCGGTACAGCGAGGGATCCGGGACAGCGGGTGAGGTTTTGATGGAAATAAATTCAGAGTTCACCGAGATTCATACGGGACAGCGAGGTATCCGGATTATCGAGATCCGGGATAGCGAGGTGTGACTGTACCGGTACTGCACAGTACCCTACGCTACCAGTGCCCGAGTACTCTGCACCCACCCCGACAACGTTCTCATGCCCCCATTCGCACGGGCACCTGGCACCTGGCTAGGATATACCCGATTTATTACTTGTACCACCAGTATTACCATAATTATCCTTACGATAATTACGGCTTCGAATCTCTCGAGTCTCTCTACTCATTGCACCGCGGATCGATCAAACTGCCCCTGGCGGGCCTGTGGAAGGAGTGCCAAAAGATGCGGAAGCTGCTATTTCAGCTCAGGGTGGGCAACGCAAGACAGTACCGGACCTCCCAGGCGGGTCATTCCACCCTTTGTGCACTTCGATGCGTGACTGCCAGTACATAAATTATACAACTTTTATAGACGGGCCAGGTATTGATACCAATCAAGGTGTGAGAGCTCTGCGAATGCGGCTTCACCATCCGGACAAATCAGTATCGTATCGGTACTGTAGAAAAATGACAGGCGTTGAAGAGTTTCGGGCTTTCCGGAAATTGCCAAAGGCAAGGCGAATCGAGGGAAAGGACCCATCGAATCCCAGTGTCCGCAGCTCCTCGAGCGGAGAGAGGGGGGAGAGGGATAATTTATTACTCTTAGAATATCACAACAACATCCGATACGAGTTCATGGAAACCGTAAATGGGGGCCGTTGGAAGTATAATACTGTACTCGTACCAAGAGGGATTGATGCATTCGAAGCACCCTAGCAGTACCGTACGTTATTAACTACCGGCTACGGAACATAGTGAGTAGCATTGCCTACTTGTACCCCCGTGGGGATTTCATGCCGCACCGCGACACTAGTGTTCCTGTACTCGAGTACGGGTACTAGTACAGATCGATCCGGCACCCATAGCAAGCTTGTGCCACAGACTGTCTCTTTTTTTTTATTCGTGGCACCACTACCGTACCGTATCGCGATGTTGGTCTATGCATCCCTACCATTGATAAGGTTAATAATAGTGGGGAGCGATATTCGCAGCTAATCAAAAATCCGATACTGGCAATCCCGGTACGAGTACCACTGTCAATGCTACCGTACTGTATTCATGTCGCCAAAAGCAACGCAACCTGACCCCAAGCGGCATCGGTACGGAGTGGTTTGTGCACGAGCGCTCTACAAGGACTCATGCTGCACTTACTACCCTCATTGTGCCCGAAAGCTAGCAATCCCTCACGAAATCTCCTCACCTAAAATCGTAGGCGAGCACCGGATACTCGAGCACAAGTGGCGGGGGCGGCCGGTGTTCTGTAATAAACCGAAATACCGGTCCTATTGCAGCTTCCTGTTTCAATAGGCACAGTACAGCGTAGTAAGGGTACCGGTACCGGTACTTGTATCCCAATAAGGAAAGTATGAAGCGCAGCGCAAACCCGAGCCTGCACCACGATATCAACATAAGTGATGTACGAGTACAAGTACTTGCGGGGCTCACACACGGAGCTGGGATGTGCGCTGTACGAGTACCGTACTATGGTATAGTTCGAAGGGGTTCGCAGTAGTGCGTGATGAAACCTCTTGTTTTACGATATACTCGAGTACTCGAGTATAGTACGGTAATTTCGCTGGTCGTTCAACAAAACCCAAGTCGTAGACAAGACTAGTGTTGCGGGGAGAGAGGTGGGGCTGTCACAGTAACTGGGGTTCCGAGATGTGGGAGGCTGTTGACTTGAGAAATTCCCCCCGGTGATTGCGCCTTTCCTCTTCCATCGAGCCCGACAACGAACCTTAAGTTGCCGACCGTCTCCGAACCACCAAACCTTCTTGCAAACCGCCTCCAGAGCCGGTACCGGTACCGCAGCTCATCCCTCCAGCTCACGGCTCACGAACTACGAATCTCCTGCTTGAACCGTGCTAAACCGGTGCGGTGACACTCCCTATTGAAATCCAAAACTCGGCGAAGGCTGCGGACGCGAGATCAAAACACTCCTTGAAGTCGCGATTGTGGAAGTTCGAAGCTCTCGGTACCAACAACCGGCGCGCGGCCTACTCTCTCTACCGGGAGAGAGTGATCTGCAGTGTCTCTCTCTCGAGTTGGTACGCACTGTATCCGAGAAGACACCATATACCTTGGTCTGTATATTGAGAACCGGATCTAGTGGTTGGGGAAGGCAGAAGACAGCTGTGCGCTATTGCTGTACAGAGAACATTGAACCCGCCCGCCGCTCCGGCAATCGCGTTGGTTGGGTAGGTAGCTCTTTTCGTCAAAGAGAGCTACTGCTCATGTATAGCGGATTTCCACCTTGTACTCGTGCAGGGCTTACGCTCCCGTTAAACCACCGCAGGCGAGCGCAATCCCAACCAGCAAGCACAAAGATGACCCTGCCATATTCTTCACCGGGTAATGGTTACTTTGACGTTTAGTAAGCGCGGTGGAATGCCAGATCCGTGATGTCACCGGTACCGCACCGCTCTCCCTTCGATCTGTCGAGCCAGTGGTAGGGCGTTTACGGCACCGGTAAAGGGATACAGCCCTCGGAAGTCGGGCGGAGCCGTTCGGGCAGGATTTGCACATACAGCACTGTTTGTCTGATATATGATGGGCCGGATCCGTCATAAATGTTCATGGGCTAACACATGCGCACTGCGCCGTGATACGTTACCCACACACCTGTGTGCTTTGTGCCTTCTGCTGAGATCCTGCAAGCGATAGAGTGGGATGTGGCCGAGAGTTTGAATTGTTCTCATCGTTATCACCCTCGGGTTGCGAGATACCATTGATCCCTTGTTTCCTAAAGGATTGTGGCAGGGCAAATCAAGTACTGTATGCCTTGTCCCTTGCTGTCGCGACCCTGAGGGTGACGCGGGGGAGAGTGTCGAGGTGTCGCGCCCTCCAGTCCTTGTTTGCTACCATATGCTCCCACGGGACAATGCATCTTGTATTTTTCCCACTCACGGCGTGTGCTCACTGCCCCACTTTTAGCGCTGCTAGGTCTTCAAGGACTTGCTGATAAGGCTGTCGGACCGTCAATACCAAGAGTGTGTGGGAGTTGGGGTGAAGGGGCTTGGTCCGGGGTGTCAAGCATCCCTTGAAGCCGGATGCGAGGCGCCTCTCCTGCATACAATCTCGGGGCTCTGTTTTCCCGAAAACCTCCTGGATCCCGTTCCTCTCGGTAGGAAATTCTCAGGCAAATATCGTCCTCACATGCCTGCCTTATGTCCAAGCACCACATGTACTGTACTAGTACTCGGGTACTGGTACGGTACAACCGAATCGACTAAGATAACAGTCATATGGGGTTACTCTATAATATTGGTTTTGGCTTGATTACCGGCTCCCGTTGTCCGTAGATTCTCCCCCGCATTTACCTTGTTTTAGGCCGTTTATCGATAGGTACCCCGGTGGGTTGGGGTGCCCGAGGATTGTGGTAGTGCCGTTGCGTGTGAATAGCGAAAGTGCGTTTTGCCGAGTTTATAATGAAGTCCTCCGAGTCTGTGATATCTATGGTTTAAACTTGGGTCTATTTAAACACATCAAGGATTAGTGAAGGTTTGATCCGGCTGTTATAGAATAGTCCCTGAGGACGGTCTTACCTCTCATCATATCGCGCGCCGGATTCCTACAGAAGGTAGTCCCCAGCTGGCTAAACAGCCTCGCC